TGTTGTTTGGTGGGTCCGGGCTGGGGATTCGAACCCGCCACCTTAGGTGTATGTGGCTGGCGCCTTAGCCAGTTGAGCTATAGGCGCCGAGCCTGCTTAAAGAAATTCTTAGGAGACACTGTGGATATCCATAAGATAGTTTGCTATCAATTGCAGTATACAGATTTTGAGCTATTTTTTTGTGGGTTTTTTTTTTTTTTTGCAGTTTTTTTGGCTGGGGCCAGGTTTGAACCCACCACCTCCGGTATATGGGGCCTGCACCCTACTCCTTTGAGCATAGGCTCTCTTTGCAGTTTTTTATTTAGTTTTTGCCAATGACTATACACAGACATGTGTACTAGAATTCATCAAGAAGCTTACTGACTAATGGCCCTAGTTACTAGCAGACTCTAACAGGTTGGAATGGCAAAGACAGATATTTTTTCCATTTATAAATTAGTTAGCAAAGGAACTGATTCTACCTGCTGACATGCAGATCCAGGCCTGCAATCTGCTGGTAATGTTAATACACACAAGCAGTAGCTCCAAAAAACCAGGTTCACCCTGGGGCACCAACTTCATCCTAAGCACAAGGGCTCTTCAGCACCCACACTTAGCGCTGCACACAGCTTCCACGGTCCCACATGACCCCACCATCGACTACTAAACCATGAGGATCTGAGGAGCTTTGGGAAAAGATTCATGAAAGTATTTCCCTTCTGTCAGGATTTACTAAGAACACAAACCCTTGCCCAATAGGATTAGCACTTCCCTTTTAAGATATTGGTAGGAATGTTCAAAGTCAAGTGAAATTATACTAATCAGTAACAAAAACCCTAACGAAGATGATACAACTGAGGTAAAATCAACAAAACAGGACGCAGACCCCTAATAAACATGTTTTCAACTATCTAGATTACATATAAAATCGTTTAGATTTTAATAGAACCTGAATATATGAAGAATATGTAAAACTTATTTTTAAAAAGCCTATATACCCTACCATACTAAAAGGCTAATATAAATATATATATAGTCACATGAAGTTTGTAAAGATGTGGTGTATTGAAGGCCATATGCTACTTATTTTTAGAATCTAAGGCCCACTGTTATAAAACTATGTAGACAACCTAAATCAAATACATACTGACATGACATATTAATGTAAGTTTATATACTTTGTTACCACTCAAGTTTACTGTTAATTAAAAGTGACAGTGTTCCTTTAAATTCTCTAGAGACCATTTAATCCATTTCCACTGCTATCAGAAACACTGTTTGAAAAAAAAATCAATACCCATTTGTGAATCTTGAGTATGTATTAAACAAGACACGTCTAACCAGTTCATTTGCACTTGAAAGCAGCCATCTGTAGAAGCCAGCTTTGCCTAAGCAGATATGATTGCTAATAATGTGATATCCCTGTAGACTACAAAGCCCACACAGAGCTATTCAGTATATAGTTCACAGCACTGGCATTAAATTAGTTATGCTGCACTGGTATTAGAAATACACATACATACACACACACATACACAATCTTGCTCTCAAACCTAAAACCTACTTGACAATATGCAAGTAAACATTTGTTGAATAAAGTAGCATAAAGCAATTCATAAGTGCTCTTTGTTTTACTTGGGAGTTCAAATTTTAAAATGTTAGTTTGGAGGTTAAAACCATATAAAATATTTACTGGTATTCTAGATTAAAAAGCCAGAGTCAACCTTTTCTAATTTATAGTACAAGAGCTCCGATTAGTGTTAAATATTCCTATAAGCAGGAAATATTATTTCATTATATATTATAAAGTTTCTCTGAATTATTAGAGGAAGTATTCAAAATTCATATCTTTCAAGTTTATTAGTTTATTAAGGATTGGTAAAATAGGCTTATCATGTAAGAGTATAAAAAAGGTACATCTGGTGTCTGAATTCTAGTAATAGAACATATCCTTATTTTTTCATTTATGAAAAAATATACAGTAGAACCTCTGTAAGTTGACCACCCAAGGGATGGTGGTCAGCATATGGAGGTGGTCAACACAAAGAACTTCCACTGAATACATGTGGTTCATGTCCAGTTTATGAAATTTAGGTCAACTTAAGGAGGTGGTCAACTATGGAGGTTTTACTGTAAAAATCTAAGATTTTTAAACGTCTAATTAGCATTCATGTCTCTGTATTTGCATACATCTTTATACCTATACAGATGACACCATGAAAAACTTAATGGCTTAGGATAGCTGTAAATCATAACTTTGTCTACTCTAATTTTTAAACAGCAGAATGACTCTTATTCAACCCTGAACCACTTACACTAAGATTTTTCCCCTCTTCTTCCTGGGGTTCCAACAGTTGTATTAAAGTTCTTCAGTTCAATATGACCTTTCCATTGACACGAATAAGAAAAAACTAAACTTGAAATAAACCTTTTTGCATTCCTTTAAAATTATGAAATAGTAAACAAAAGAGAGTCCTCTTTTAATTTCATTTCATAACATTTTTCTATGGTGGTCTTCAAATATTAAATTAAAGATAAAATAGCTTTCCTATAGTATTAGTTTAGTTAGCTGACCTATCTATCTACCCATTAGAGATGACTAGAATTCTCTAAGTAGAATCTAGTAAACCAAATTAATTTTGCAACAATGTTTACATTAAAAAAAATCATTTGCTACTCATGTGTAACACTGCTTCATTATTAGTGCCTACAAATCAAATTATACTTATTAGCTAAAATAAAGCATAATTTTGGACCTGCCCTCTAGTGTTGAGAAAGCAAATCAAACTCCCAAAGAGCATTAAACTAAAAAAAAGAAAGAAAGAAAGAAAGAAAAGGTAAAAAACCATTAAGTTTTAGCAACGAAGGGTTTTATTTAAGTTTCTAACCCTTAGAAATCAGAGGGATAGTCTATTAATAATACTAATTCAGATATTCAAATGTAATAAGCATAATTTTTCATTGGCCATCAGTGAACAAATTCTTTGAAATTATTTACAATTACTTAAAACTAGTTTATTTTCATTTTAGATTAGGAAAAAGCCTCACAAATCTATTGACAACAATTTACCTATTTTCTAAATGATCTAAACACATAGAAACATCTATATAGCTCTTAAATCAGCTGCTGGTAATGCTAAGCTCTGATAATCTTATTTTATTCTAGGCTACAAAGCTTAAGGACATCTATTCATTTTTTTTTTATCATGAATATCTTCTTAGCAGGAGAAAAATTATAAAATATGAAAATAAAAAAGTAATTTACCTTGACTGCATTTTCAGAACCTTCCTCTTTAAAATCTTCATATTTCATTACTTCGGCCATAATGAATCCCTTTTCAAAATCTGTGTGAATCTTTCCTGCAGCCTGAGGTGCCTTCGTCCCTTTCTTTGAAAAGAAAGACCAGAGAAAACTAATTGCATTTAAGATGACTGATGGTAAGCACAGAGTTTCTTTTCTCAGATCTGCAGTTGGGCTCAACTAAAACTTAGTTTAGTATCAGTTAAGACATCAGGTATACAATTAGTACATTTCAACTATCAACTTTAAGATTTAGCACAGATAGATGAGTAGATGTTAAAGAAGCACAGCTTTGTTTTCCTAACAGTCATCCACAGTTTTATTGATTTAGATGCAGTGGTCTGGTTTTGGTGTAGGTTTCATTTCGATTTTCTATTCTTCACAGTGGAAAAAAAATAAAGATTTTTAAGTAACTTTCAAGCTGAATTATCAAAGGTTTTAAAAAGATAAAAAGGCCCTCAAAATTTCAGCTCATCTAAAGAACAGATAAAAATCAATATATAAATGGACATTTAAAAGGCATTTCCAACAAATCATATAATCTGTGTTCAGCAAATTGTGAAATTCTCAAAAATTTCAGTAATAAAATTTTTGAACATTTTGCATAACACACCCTGCCTCTAATCATCATGAAGGAAATTCAAGTTGATATGGGAAGAGAAATGTCTTATAATTACCCATATATTAAATTACAAGGACATACATTCCAGACACACACAGCCATGGAAAGAAATTTGAGAATTAACGGTGACCTAAAGGCTGCTTAATAAAGCATGTTAAAGTGATAAGGAGTCTGACACTATAAAGCACAGTTTTTACAATAAAAGATGTATTGGGTTAATATGGCTACTCACTGATGCTTACCTGACTAAATATCTTCGTATATTAAATCATGGATACTTACGATCAGTCTTAAGATAAGCCGGCTTTCACATTTTCAAGCCCAGAGTATGCTATTTTTCCTGCCTCATATATTTAAGTTTGAAAGTTCTAAGGCTTTAAAATACATCTTTAAAATATATAGTAAAAATAAACTCCAGCAATTTGTTTACCAATTTGAATTTGCTTTGACATTATTTTTAAAATCTATATAAAAGGGCCTTGGTTAGAAGCCAATCAATTTTTTCTCTTATTTTTTTTACAAAAGGGAGAAGAGATAAAAGAAAAGTGAACCTCACATTCACACAAGGCATTTAACATTAACTGCCTCCATGTTTTTACCCCTATTAAATAAAAATAAATGTAACAATAAATTACCATAGTCACTGAAAATAGAAATCAAAGCAGCACTAAAATTTATCATGTAGCATACATTTAAAAAGCATAATAAAAGACTAAGTAAGACACAGTATTTCTAAAAGTTCTGGCATTTTTTTATATTCTGTAATATACTACTAGGATTACATATATTTCAAAATATTTTGCAATAGTAATACTATATTCCAACATATTTACATTTTAAAGCAAACCATTACAGTTCAGTTTCTATTGTCCTCTGGGAATAAATTAGTCATTCTCTCTGGTTGTACTAGGTATACGTCAATATTAAAATACATATCATATTTTTAAAGAAGACTGAACGTATAACACTAAAAATAAACATTACTTCTATGAATTCAAATAAAAAAGCATGAATTATTACACATTGAGTTTAGCTTTTTGAGCCCAACTCTGTATCTATGAAGAGCATAATGATGTCATATTGCTTTTATTGCTGAAAATGTAATCCGAGCAAAGCAAAGGAGGAAAGAACCACCCGCAACCCAAACAAACTTAGCGAATACAAAATGAAAAGCAACATCAATTTCACTGCAGACAAACCCAGTCACACAGATTAAGCAAGCACAATACTGGTGCGTCTTATCTCTGACCACAGGAGGAGGGTAGACAGATTCTACAGGATGAAGAAATTCAGACTATGTAATAGGCAGAATCAATTGTTACCTGCCTCAATCAATGCCGCTCCACTTTCACTGTTCAGCAGCTCACAAATAATTAAAGTTATCCTGGACAAAAACCTCATCTGTAATGACTAGCTAACCGCCACCATGACAAACTTCAAAGTCAGTGATATCAATCTGAATTCAATAGTGTGGAACTGGATATAGCTGATGAATAAGTATGAATCTTACCCTGATGGTCCATGCACGCACTTCATCTGGGCCTGCAGTGAAAAAGTATTCTAGTTGGAGTGCTGCAAACCCAGCCTTAATGATCTTTGGCAAAGCACTGAAATAAAATGAAACAAATTCCTTCAACACGTAAGTTGGTTGTGCCAGAAATCGGTATGGGGCTAAAATTATTCATTTCAAATAGAAAATGATAAGAGATATTAGTAAATGATCATTCATCATTCATAATATACCTGAAGAAGTCAGAAAGCAAGCAACTATTTCGAAAATCAGCCCTTCTAAAACTGGATTTAACTGTATTAACCTGAAGATAGCATTTTTAAATTGTTTACTATTAAAAAAAAGAAAAATCAGGCCTACTCATCCTACAACTATTTTCATCCAATATTAATTATTTCCAGGACCTGGGCCGCGAAAGCAAAATTTTTGATTGAAATCCAATATTTGAACAATATATTACTGTTACTCAGAAAAAATTACAGCAACTGATTCACCCTTTCCCCTCCCCCACTGAACATGACGAAAGAGTTTTGGCGATCATTCCTCCTCAAAAATATACATAACTAATACCTATGTTATAATTAAAACACTGTACAGAGATGACAGATGACAGTTAAAAACTTAATTTAAAATAAATCTTTTCACTCTGTCTCATGGTAAAGAAAGGAGAAGATTCCCTCTTTATAATGGTAATTACTCTGTCATTTATTATTCTATCAGCGCAAGCAATTAAATTACTGCAAGGAAATAGTTGATAATAAAGTGTAGGGAAAATGAATGCTAATTAACCTTTGTGTCATGTTCGCTTCCAGATACTTCTGTCTCTCCTCAGCACTCAATTCTTGCAACTTGAGTTCCAAGGCCCCACTAAAAGGAATGACCAAGGCACCTGGGTCATACTTGTCCACCCACTCTTTAATTTTTATCAACCTGTAGACAAAAAAGGGCACAACATTATCTTGTAGTGCATGCATGACTGTACCACATTCATTATTATCAAGTAGCACATACATATTCATAAGAATTGCACGGTTTTATGATGCCATCTTTTTGTGTATAGCTTTCCAAGGTCAAGGCATTAACAGGCAGCAACTGCTTCAGGTATACGCCATAATATTTTACTGTAACCTACTTTTACTTTAGCACATTATATCTAAGGGGACCATTACATAAATATTTTAAAACTTTTTTTAGTTATACTAAAATTGTTCAGCATTAACACCTGTACTCTTGAATAAAGCCTCAATATTTTATAGTTTCTTATTTTCCTTACTTTACAAAGCAAATTTTAAAAGGGGGAAAATAAAAGTTTTGTTTGTACAAGAATCACACCTAAAAATGCCAGCTAATTTCAAACAATCCCTGACAAAGAATTCCTTCTATCCAGATATCAACACACCTGTTTTAGTTTCTTCTTAGTCTTAATAGAACTTATAGTAATCACTGGTCTTGAGGGGGGATTTAAAAATATAGTTGATCGTGTACACACTGTTGTTTTGAACCTGACTTTTGTAGGAACATGTATAAGAGAACTGCAGAACAAATAAATTCTTTTAATCACAAAAGACTTGGAAAGCCAAATCAGGTGGGAAACTGATACTAGTTGTTACCTGAAAAGACATTACTGAGTCTTTTTCTTTTTTCTTTTCAAAGCATGGAGTATTTTGGTAGAGTAATAATTAGAACATAGATGAAATAAGTATAGTTAATATATTAACAAGGTTCAGATCCTACCATTTTCCTAGCTTTTTATTTCTGGGCAGGTTACTGAATCTTTCTAAGCCTCAGTTTTCTCATCTGTAAAAATGGATATAATGTAGTACATAATATATCATAAAGAACCTAGACAAATACTGCCTGTAAATGGCAAACAGATAATTAACAGTAGTTACTATTATTAATTTTCACTCTCAGATGATCATAGCACATACTCCTATAGCTCTAGAACTGAGTTTAGCATAGGATGAACTAAAGAGTCCATTGAAATTTATATGAAAAAATTTTAATGTATGCCATAGTCTTACAAAATTCGACTATCCTCCTATATTTAGATGGAGGTTTTTTTTTTTTTTTTGAGACAGAGCCTCAAGCTGTCCCCCTGGGTAGAGTGCTGTGGCATCACACTCACAGCAACCTCCAACTCCTGGGCTCAAGCAAGTCTCCTGCCTCCGCCTCCCAAGTAGCTGGGACTACAGGCGCCCGCCACAATGACCGGCTATTTTTTGGTTGCAGCCGTCATTGTTGTTTGGCGGGTCTGGGCTGGGGATTCGAACCCGCCACCTTAGGTGTACGTGGCTGGCGCCTTAGCCGGTTGAGCTATAGGCGCCGAGCCTTAGATGGAGGTTTTAATAGATATTAGGGCAAAATATTGTGGCAGAATCCTTTAAACAGTCAATGTTAATGCCACTTTGGGGGAAGAGAAAAACAGACTAAATCATAAATCCTTCAAAACTCAGCTATCACAGAGAATGGCAGAGGATCATGGTCATTAGAAAATTAAAAATATGGACTACTGAGCAGGGTTTAGGATGGGAGAAATGAATGAAAAATTCACAAAACAATATATACATGTTTGTTATAGAAAAGTAACTACTTATTTAATGTTATTAGTAGATTCTGATCTTTATAATAATATTCTTTCCTTTGTTCAGATCCTAAAAAATGGACCAAACTCTAATATTTGTTTTGGAATAAAGTATGTGGGCTTTAAAAATAGTTAAAATAAAAATAAAATTCAAACCAGATATTTCCTTATCCAAAATTATGAAGGACAGGCAAAAAAATGAGAGAGTTAAAGGTACTTCTTCTGTCTATAATAACATAATGGGATTCTAGGTTACTTCACAGACTTATACACTATTCTATACTCAAAACTCTATATTAAAGTGTTATCACCAGTGTTTTGATAACATATTTTTATCATACAAGTTAGAACCAAATATGTAATTAAAAGAAGCAGATCACACACCACATATAAATTCAATGAAAGTGAAATAAAACAAACCCAGATAAAAGGATGATATACAAATATCATATACATTTTGTTTCATAAATAGGGTCAATATAACTAATAAAATTAGAACTGTTATGAAACAATAAGATAAGAAATAATTACTTTGGCTAAAACATCAATTCAGAATAACAATAGTCTACCCTGTCATTCTAACAGCCTTTCCTGCAGAGTCCTTAGAGGGATTATTTGCATTCCTCAGGTGTTCTATTGTACAATTCAGATGAATAAAGACTTACAAATCATTCCTCTACCGCCAATGTGAGACTTTGATCTGGTGAATACACTATTGTACCTTAACTATAATTGGCAAAAAACCTGACAGTGTAGAGCATCACAAGCTTAATAACAAAGGAGAATATCTCAAAGTGTTGACAGATGATCTTCATAATGCAGAAGCAGAGCTGGTACATTTTAGCAGTAAATGAGCACTGAGGTCTAAAGGTCTCTAAAGTGACTGACATCAGACCTGCTGTAGCCTCACTAAAAGAAAAAGGTACCGTCGCACTCTCCGTAAAGTGAGTTAGGCTCTTTGCCTGCAAGCTTCACTTTTGTGACTTTCACTGTCATAGAAAACACAGGGAAGATGAAAAGTGAGTTAGGTTCTTTGGCTGTCTGTTTTACTTTTGTGACTTTTACTATCAAACAAAAGTGAGAAATGTCCCAAAGTGATTTTCAATTATATATTTGAAATAAGTCTTGGGTAATTAAAAATACAACTCAATTTTAAGATTATAGACTTAACATATAATATATCCATTAGGTCTGGATGGTTACAAACGTGTGTTAATGAGAGGCCAAGATCACAAGTTTGAACCCCATAGGGACCAGTTACCTTTTGCAGAAAAACGTCTATTCTCTTGCTACAAACCATACCCCAAACTGTAGATAGTCATCGCAAAAATGTATGCTACTAGCACATGAGGTACATAGAAAATTGGAGTTGAGCTCAACTGCTAAAAAATGCCAAGCACATTCTGCTAAAGTGACTAAATAATAATCTCCATGTACAAATGATAGCAAATGTTGAAAGAAAGCCATCTAAATGCTAGTGACCAAGGTGATGATAACATTTATCATAGAATATCAAATTATGTATGGGGGGGAGATAGGGGAAGGAGGAACAGTAAAGACAGAAGGATCCCAAAGAAGAGTCTAATCCTCTAAATGAACTATATAGACTTTCATAATGAACAGATTATTCCAAGGGGATCCATCTTTCTCCATAAGGTGCCAAACCCCATTTGATTTCCTCAGAGTCTTGAGTGACAAATAGAAACTGTTATTAGTTGTATTCTCCTCCATGGTAATGATTCTATAGCAAGGAGACAAAGCTGAGACAACTAGTTTTAGATTAAATGGGTGATGCTTTGAGATATACTGGCAGATTGTGATTTGTTGATTTTTTTTTTTTTTTTTTTT